AAACTATATAAATAACAATGCATGGAAATTGTCTGTTCTTTATTATGAATAGAAATTAATACGCTTAATCGTTATTCAAGTAGAATGGATGAGGAAAAGAGGAATTTAATAAGATAAATGAGAAATTAAAAAATCGCAGTGGACATTGAATTTAAAAGAACTGCAAAAACAGTACAGACTTACCTATTCATCCGCAAGTGCACCTGCTCCGAGGAAGATGGGTCACGGTCAATGGGTCATTCTGCCGATCCTTGCCACTCGCAGGTCACTTTCACTTTTCAGTCCACAATTTTACGATCATCTGTTCTACCTGCGAGCGGCAAGAATCGACATGTTGACCCATTGACGCACTTGCAGATGAATGGGTAAGTCCAATGTGTACTGTTCGCTTCGTACTGAGCGGAGCACTTGTTCCCCTGGCTATAGCCGAGCATTACGACTCGAGTTAAGAGGTCCATCATTGAGCGCGGGCGGACCGCACGCTCTCAGTCAGTGGTCAGCGTTTTTCGCTTATAATTCAAAAACCAAGACCCATTTTATATTTTGCTAAACGAAATTGTTGTTCAGAATGACTCTTCCCCTATGCCATTTCTGGCTGTAACACTTTTTACGGAACACCCTGTATGTACAGCATACACTCTCTTATTCTAAGAACATTCTTCTAATCTATTATGTATTCATTGTAAATAAATATCCAACATCCAATATTACATATAATCAAAGAAGTTCACATCTTTTCGTACAACTTTGTAACCGCGTTTGAAAAGTGATTTCGACAAAAAAGCACAGCCCTTGTTTTTTCGTTTAATCAATTCAAATAATCAATTCGTACGATAAAATAGACTGAAAAATTCTATGGCTAGATTTATGTTATGGACAAGAACTTTCTTTATATTTATGTATTCTGTCTCTTAAGTGAGAAGAAAACCAATTCTAGTTCAATGTCTACGTGCTTCAATAGTATATATTTATTCTTTTATACAAGCTATGTACAAAAAATGTGTGTCTAATCAAGATCCGGTAAAAATAATTCAAATTCATAGCAAATTTTTCATCTAAAATTAGAATACAGTGGAGGGCAATGTTCATATAACATTAATTATTAATTAATGTTTTGTTCATGAATTAAAATTAATATGATACAATTATGAATGTACTCAATGTGTATAAATCGATATATAAAATCTGCTAAATAAATCTAAAGTCCACTGCATTCCAGTCCAATATAAGTCTTTATAACAAATTAAAGTCTAACTTAACAACAAGAAGATTTTGCAGGCTCTGCTTCAATCAGATTAAAATCTAAACCTCCAGGCCTGGCAAATCCAGTTTTTATTCCATCCCAACCATCTTCTACTTTGTATTCACCAGTTTGTATTCTGTTATAAACTTCTTGTGTAACAGTTCGAAATGCATCTTCAACATTAACACCAGTCTTTGCGCTGGTTTCAATGTGATGCACTCCATGTTCATCAGCAAAAGCTCTTGCCTCTTCTTTTGAAACTTCTCTTATACCTCCATTAGTAACCAAGTCTAATTTACAACCTACTAATGCAAATACAGGTCGATGCGGTTCAATATGCCTGCGAACTTCCATCATCCATTCAGGAATATGCTCAAAACTTGCCCTGTTACAAACATCGTACACAAGTAAAGCCCCAACAGAATTTCTGTAGTATGATTTAGTAATTGATCTAAAAAAGACAATGCATTAGGCTATAAATTAATTGGATATCACTTTCTTACATATTAAAATAAGTGAACATACATAGAAAGAATTTAACGCATACCTAAATCTTTCTTGGCCTGCTGTATCCCATAATTGCAATTTTATTCTTGTCCCATCTTTTACATCAATTAATCTAGCAAAAAAATCTACTCCAACTGTTGGATCTGAAAGCTGACAGATAGAAATATGAAATAATTGTTTTATA